CTCTATTTTTATCACACCATCCTCTGAAGGGGTTACCCAAATTGCCAATAGGGAATAGGGACACAGACCACTCTGGCTTTTTCCATGCTGAACAGGGATGCAGAGTGACACCATTGGAGTACCCCTTCAGTAGGTCTATCTAAAAGACTCCCAAATTGCATAACTCTTGTCTCTAAGGGGAAAAGAAAGTCCTTGAATCATGAATAGTAGATGTGAAGGAGAAGTAAAGGCAAGAGTAATTAGCATTACAAATTCTAGACAGGGAACTAGAAAAAAGTCAGAACAGGGCCATTTTCAAATGTTCATATGAGAGTTGATTGGGAGTTTCTTGACAAGGGCCTCCAAAAGCATCCCTCTATTGGGTTCTTCCTCATTTTTCTTTTGTCTTCGTAAAATTAAAACCAACCTTTTGTTTCACAATGGAAACACATCTAACTCTTTTGTTATTATTATTTTTATTTTATGTGTATGCATGTATTGCCTGCATGTAGGTAAGTGCACCTATGTCATGCAATGTCTGCGGAGGAAAAAAGAGACTGTCAGATCTCCTGGAACTGGAGTTACAGACAGCTGTTAGCAGCCATGTGGGTGCTGGGATTCAAACCCCGGTCTTCTGCAAGAACAGTGTTCTTAACCACTGAGCCATCTCTCCAGCCCCACATCTAACTTTTAAATGGAAATCACATAGGGATCATTCAATGCAGTGATCCTCAAGGTTCTGCTCCCACAGTGCACCAGGACTGTTCAAGGATAGGGGATAGAGATGGGGTGGGACTCTGGTTGTCATGGGTACTGTGGGTGTTGCTGACATTTAGTGCCTGGGGGCCAGGGATGCTGAACTCAGAAAGAAGTCTCCTACAGGAGAGATTCCCCTACTAACAAACTTCACAGCTGCATAGAACATTCTGCAAGGGCATTAGCTGGTATTGTCTGTTTAGCAATCCTCCAATCTTCTTTGAGCACATCTTATTTTTCCTTTAGGAAGGCACCTTTCTACCCTACGAGGTGTTGATGGGCCTATCAAAATGTCCTGTGCCATCAGCCAAGGACTATGACTGTAATTCATGCTAGGCATATCCTCTGCTAGGAATCTGATCTTGAGTTAGGTAGATGTAAAGGTAGAACTCAGTAACCCAATCAAAGCATTTGTTTCTCGTCTTTCCTTTCTTCTTTTCATTTCTTTTTTTCTCCTCTTTAGTTTTCTTTTCAAAATAGGATCTTACTCTGTGGTCTAGGTTGGCCTGGAATTTACTACATAACTCATACTGTCTTCAAACTCAGGGGAAATCTCCTGCCTCAGCCTCTCAAGTGCTGATATTACAGTTGTGAGTCACCACACACAGATCAAAGGCTCTCTCACAGTGACCCTAGTTCATGTGAATAACGCAGACTCTCTCAACACTTAGTAACTTAATATTTTGCTCGCTTTATGTTGTTTAGTTTTTGAAAAGTTGGCTACAATTTCTACATATGTTCTTCCATATGCTCTTTCCCTCTGGTTTCCTTGAGAAGTTTTTAGCTGTGAACTTTTTGTAGTTTTAAAATGATGCAGTTAGGTAGTTTTTCTGATATGTGTCCTGCCTGGTGTCCTTTGAGCTTATGGGATCCATGTTTGGTGTCTGACATTTGGGAAATCCTCTCATCACTGCTTTCAAATATTTCATCTTCTTCTTGTATTCCAATTATGTTTGTTCTCTCTCTCTCTCTCTCTCTCTCTCTCTCTCTCTCTCTCCTCCCCTCTCCTCCCCTCCCCTCCCCTCCCCTCTCCTCTCCTCTCCTCTCCTCTCCTCTCTTTCTTTTTCTCTCTTTTTCTGGTCTTTTTGAGAAGGGTCTCCCTGTAGCCCTAGCTGGCCTGGAACTATGTAGACCAGGCTGGTCTCAATCACACAGAGCTCCACCTGCTTCTACTTCCCAAGTGTTGGGACTAAAGGTTTACACCACCATGTCCACCCAGTTATGCAGTTTTTAAAATTATGTTTATTTTTGTGTATGAGTGTATTGTCTGAATGTAAGTGCACCTGTATTGTGCAATAACCATGGAGGCCAGAAGAGGGCATCAGATCCCCTGGAACTGGAGTTAAAAATGGTTGAAAGCTGCCATGTTGGTGCTGGGAATCAAACCTGTGTCGTCTGGAAGAGCAGCCAGTGATCTTAAGTGCTGAGCCATCTCGCCAGCCCCCAATTATGTAGTTCTTAAATATGCTTTTCTGGTG